CTAACATTCCTTTCCATGCCTATGATTTTTATTATTTATAAGTTATTTTAATAGCATGCCAATAACTTGCTTTAATGGACTCCTTAGTGTATGGACTAGGAGTACACACCATGTAAGATGTGATGTCATGCCAAGCCAAGTCAGGAAGCCTATCACATTCTGTGTGCCAGTCATCCTGCACAACATATGGATCTTTCTCCATTCTACATCTCTCCAATTTATTTATATATCTACTCTTTTCAGCAGGAGGTAAGCTAGCTGCATATTCTGATAAAAGAACCATTGTAGTGCTACACCCACATGCTAATTATTGCGCTCTCAGACACCCAACATGGCGGATAGCAACGGTTGTCAAGGAAGTGCATCAATTAATTGACTCGCGCAGAACCTCTATACATGTATAAGTACATGTATATACATGTACACAGTGTACATTCCTAAATAATTAATATAATTGGTACATACACATGTACATGTACATGTATGCAAAGATGTAAATATTATTGTCATTAAATGTTCTACTTTTAAAATTTAAAAAAATCATAAATAACTATAATTTCGTTATTTACTTGTTTGATAACTGATTTAGCATTTCCACAGAGCATGACATGAGCTGGTACATTATTACTCATCTCTTCAGGACTAATATCAACCTAATAAGGGCAAGGATTCTATTATTAGTAACACAATTTATTATTAGTAACATGAACTATTATTATTAACACATCTATTATTAGTAACATATCTATTATTAGTAACACAATCTATTATTAGTAACACAATTTATTATTAATGACATAATCAATTATTAGTGACACAATCTATTAGTAACATAATCTATAATTGGTAACACAATCTATTATTAGCGACACAATCCACAACCATGATGTTATTATTAAAAAGATTAATTATTGAGCCTCATACAATTAGTAATAATTTATTTTTTATCTCTCACTTGAATAATTTTAACATTTTCATTAAATCTCGGCGGTTTTCCAAAATGCAGTATCCAGTTGAGTCTAGCACCAACTAATAGTATGACATCAGCTTCTTTGAGTGCTCTACAAAGGATAGAGTGTATTGTAGTATAGCACTTTGCTTTCAACAAACTGTACTCTTGATAATACATATACATGTTCTTATGCTGTGTAGCAAGTTTGAGCTGATTCCAACCAAAATTTGATTTTTTATGAGCTTTTAAAGTTACTCAAAAATCAGGCAAAAGTCCCTGTACTATAGTACAGGGTATTTTGTTAAAAATGGCTTCAAGAGAATTTTCCATTGTTATAATTTTTTTTGATGTACATGTACTTTATATTGTCTAGAAATTTGAGCTAATTCCTTTTAAATAATGACCAGGACTTTACATTAAAAAGACTGTACAATACCTTGATCTAGCAGCTGCCACACATAATGGATGATCATCAGGCAGGACTCCTTTACCCATTGGGGTAGGGAGGAAAGGAAGATTAGCTCTTACTAATAACAGACGTAACTCGTGTTCAGCTCTTGAATATGCAGCACCTAAAAATAGTAGCAACAACAACAACAACAACAACAACAACAATAATAATAATAATAATAATAATAATGATAATAGTATACTGTATAATTATAACTTGACCAATTTAAAATTGCTCAAATCAGGTCGCCTTCTCAAATTCAATATGTACATGTACAGTCATAGAGAAAATTTTTGTGAATTTCAATGGCAAATTTTACAGTTTTATATCAATCAATATTCATTGCTAGTCATACCTTTCCCAATGATAACGAGTGGTCTTTTAGCTTCCATCAAACATTTAACGGCATTTTTCACATCCAGGGGGTCTGATAATGTTAGCGGTGGGTCCGGACAACAGGGTGGATAACTAAAATTAAGAATAGTAATTACTACATGTAATGTACAACAAAATTAACAATAATAATTAGTAATAGATTCATTAGCCCCACAAGTAGATGTAATTCATAAATAATTGCTATAACAATGATGTTTAAAATTACATGCATACATAGATATGTCACTGTAAATCATGATTACTAGATCTATATGTACCGTATAGTGGGATATTTTTGTGGGTATATATTTTCATGGTTTGTTACTAGTGGGGCAATTCGTGGCTTAATTTTCATGGTTGACAGTTTACATAGCCTGTAAGGGGATGGCACTTCAATTTCGCGGGAAGCTTGAAAACCACAAAATCCACAAAAATAAAGCACCATGAAAATTACCCGCTATACGATATATCAAAGATGATGTAGTGATGGTAGTATGATTATAGTACCTGATATTATCACCAGGCATCAGTTCGTTAACAAGGTTTCCTGGTATCTCAATGTAGGTTGGACCAGGTCTACCATAAAGACTCGTTCTTACTACCTGAGGGAAGAGAGAGAAAGAGAAGAAAAAAGAATAGATAGGAGAGGAGATGGTTAGAGAGTAAAAGTAGAAAAAGAAGACAAGAAAAGTGTATGTATGTACGTTGTACAGTAGTATATATACAATTATTACTTTCTCAATAAGGTATGGTATTGACTCTAGTGTCTCTATTCTGGCAGAAAACTTACAGCTGGACTGGACCGAACTAATCTATAAAAAGATTAATTTAATATTGCAGTTAGTGTACTTCATAGCAGGAAATTTTCATAAACGTTAAATGTAATTTTAGTGCTTTAGAATATTCATAATTAAGGTTATAATTAATTTTTTAAAATAATAATCAAAATTGTGTAATTGATGTCCTCTCTCTTTCATGTTTACTTGGTTCCATTCTTGAAATCCTCCCATTCCGACCTGATCCTGATCAAATGAACCAGCGATAACTACCATTGGCCTATCAACATCATCTTTATTATCATTATTATTATTATTAATAATAATAATTATTTATTATTATTATTATTATTATTTTCATCATCATCATCATCATCATCATCATCATCATCATCATCATTAATATAAGAAAACAGACACAATTTAAAAATAAAAATAACAAATAAAATTTAAAAACAAAAAAATTAAAAAATAAAAATAAAAAATAAAAATAAAAAAAGCAAAAAATAAAAAATAAACAAAAAATAAATGAAAAATAAAATAATTAAAAACATTTTTTAAATAAAAAAATAAAAAAGAAATAAAAGAAGAAATTAAAAAAATTAATAATTGAACTTAAAAATAAAATTAAATAATAAAATTTAAATTAAAAAAACCAAGAACTGGATTGATTTATTCATTTTAATCATTAGTCAAAAAATGTCAATCAATGGCTCATGCTCGCCCCCTCAATGTTACATTCATCTAGTTATTATTACTATTATATTCAATTTATACTCACCAACAGTTCACAAATGCATTCACAATACCAGCCAGTGCATGAATCAATCCTGGGCCAGGTACTACTAGACAAACGCCAGGTCTATCATATTGAGAATGAGTAAAAAGAACAAAAATTAGAATTATATTGCAGTATTATAATTAATGTGTGAAATGGGTAATTTCTGGAACTTTCAGTTGACTATTATTTTATGCAAAAAATTATCTTGTTGAAAAAAAACAGTCTTTAGCATAATTTCTGACCAAATATCTTTGTAAATGACGAAAAAATTAGGCACATTGCCTTACAAACTAGTGCCGCCATACTTTATACAGCATAAAAATACTTCCAGACTTTAATACAGTTACATATAATCAATATTACTTTTACCTATTAGTGAGATATCCAATGATAGAAGCAGCATAACTAGCCTATTGAATTGCAATAATTATGAGAATTATACTGATTATATTAACTAACTGATTGCTCATTTCTCATTCCTATATATTTGATTCCAGCAGCCTGTGCAGAATAAGCAACCTCCACTATAGGTATACCCACTATACCAAACATGTACTGGATCCCTTGAGCTCTCAAACTATCAGCTAATATCACTGAACCACTGGAAGACATATTGACAAATTAATGATATTCATGAAAGGGCGTGAAAGACTAGATGTGAGATTGAAACAATGGCAGAAGGTGAGCTGTATGTAAATATGTTTTATCTGTCTCTTCTGTTTTCCCTTTTTGTAGGTAGATCCATTTCTTCTATAGCTCAGCATTCAGCTCCTGTAGTAGGAGAATCTCTGTTTGTATGGGGAGGGAACAGACCTGGCAGACCAAAAGTACACGAATCTCCTCAAAAGATGAAGTTGTACTCCACCATTGACAGACTGGACTTTAGGACTGGTCGTTGGTCCTCTCACGTCACCAGAGGAACGTCACCTCCTCTAGGACCTATGGCATACTTCTGTACCGTCAGAAACAATGACATCTTTTATATGGGCGGCTACTGTGGACATGATGTCTGCTTTCATAATGATGTCAACTTATTTAATACTTTAACTTATGAATGGAATAAGTTAATGTCTAGTAGCGATATTGTAATGAAGAGAGGGTTTGGTGGTATGGTGTGTATGGAGTCTATGGGTACAGAATACCTCCTAGTAATAGGAGGAGCGGGCTCTACACCCACTACATACCAATCACAGTATCAATATGATCAGATGTATAATGGCCGTGTTCGTACTAATGAACATAATTTATTGAATTTATCACTAAGTAAGATCCAGCTCTAAATCAGAAGTATAGCCAGAAAATTGAATTGTTTCAATTTGATGAATTGACTAAAAAAAGGTTTGGGTGTTAAAATTTTGATCATGTCATGATGTACATGTTGCTTTCAAATTTGAAACTAAATTTTCTGGCTATACAGTATAATGTGTTTCTTTATTTCTATGCTACAATATGATAATGTTTCTCTTTTAGGACAGTGGATTATTCCAACTATTAGTGGACAGTGTTGTCCTCCTACTTCTGCCTTTACTCTTACAAAGATCAGTAATAATAAATCTGTCTTGTTTGGTGGATCAGTGACTGATGATAAAGGATATCCTTTACCTGTTAATAATGTCTATACATGTCAACTTGAATCTGATGCTACAATAGTAAGTGATATCCTTCATCCTTGAATTTGAGCATGACCTTGTGCATTATCATTATTCATTAAGTTCATGTACATAGATGTACTGCATAATTAATAATGTTTTTATATTAATGTCTTTATCTAGCACTGGGAGAGTGTTAAGGGACCAGTAGTACCTGCTAGTGTACAGTGGCCTGTGGTGAGACGTGGTCATGCTATTACTAGTATCATCAGTGACTCACCTACACTAGTAATGATAGGTGGACAGGATGGAAGTGGCCAACTAGTAAATGATAGTTGGTTACTTGATACCAGTCAGTACCAGTGGAGTAAGGTATGTAATGTCAGTATGTGAGTATCAGTGTATAGTAACATGTTATATCACTTATTACTAGTCATTGTATTGTTATGTTATATCATATCAACAGATTGTTCTACCTGAATCTGTTACTGGTAGACGATGTCATTCCTTATCATCAATAATGATGAGTCCAGACTGTGTGTGGTTGGTGGTAGTGGGTGGGGCTGGGGCAGCTACATTTAAATTGAAAGATGCAGGAGAAGAAGTAAAGCAAGCATTTTCTGACTATATCACTGATCATATTACAATGTTAATAGAGCTAGGTAAGAACTGAACTATTGTAATAGTTATAAACCAGTAAATAATGTACATACTACATCTAAACATTAAATTACAATACAAAAAATCAATATTTTCTTTTTGTCTATTCTTCTTCATTTGTTTACCTTCTCTTTATTTTATTTTAATAATTTCATCTCTACTATGTTCTCACCTTTTCTTTCTTGCTTTCTACCTCCTTTTTATACTCCTTCTACTGCCCTTTGTTCACTCCTCTCTCTCTCTCTCAGTTCTCACTAAAGGTCAATGGACAGTAAGTGAAGTACTAGATTCTACTGATCTTACTAAAGAGGCCTATCAACACAAATATCAATCATTCCTTAAAACAAGACAATGGTGGCAAGATCGTTGTTCTATAGTCTATCCAACAGAAAAGGAAGTACAACAGCAGCAGTACATACAAGTACTGCAACACGAGTTAAGAGTATTTGAAGTAAATAAAACCTCACTGCAGGAAGCACTCCTTGAGGCTAGTCAGCAAGGTATAGTCCTCTACTGTGTGTGTGTGTTTATTATTTTGTGATTTGTGAATAAACTTTACATTAAGAGGTGATATATCTGACACATTTAATTAGTAATGACACATTATGACATGATTGTTAATTGTTGTTAATAGTGTATATGTGTATTGGTTAGGTGATGTTACTGATGATACTTACACTAAGACTCCTCCTCCTCCTGCTAGTGTTGATGATTCTAAAGTGAAGAGTTCAATACAAGAATGGAAGAACATTACTGGTGAGGTTATACCATGAGTACATTACTGTATATCTAATGATGAGATAATACATTGAATTTTATGTAGAAGAGATTGAGAAACTTAAAGCTAATATAATGATGCTGACTGAAGAGAAATCAGAATTAGAGGAAAAGAATGAGAATTCAACTGGTAATACTATCAGTATTGCTCCATATAGTGTATAGTTTTCATTAGAAGAGAACGAGAAACTTAAAGCTAAAGTTGTTGATAGTGAAACTTATATAGCCACACTGACAGAGGAGAAAACTTTAACTAATGGTAAAACTATCATAGTATTACTGTATGATAATACCTTTTGTTATTTTTTGTGTAGAAGAGAATGAGAAACTTAAAGCTCAAGTATCTGACAAAGATATGCTGATAGCTAAACTGATGAAGAAAGAGTCACAACTAAAGGAAGAGTTGCAGTCAATGAAAGATATTTCAACTGATACTAAGAGTATTCAATGTGACTACTGGACTAAAGCAGGTTAGTGTAGCCTATTGTTTAAGTATTAATAATCTGTTATTGTAGAATTACCATTTGATGGTATGGTAACATTGGGTAAGAAGGTCTGTCTGTATAATGCTAACAGTAGTCATGAGTTAGTGTTGGATGAATGTGGTCTTACACTCTCTCTACCTGATGGACTTTTCTCTCCAGCGGATAGCACTGTCTATGAAGCTGCTGCTCAAGGTCTATGGGGAGGAGATTTTGAGTTCCCTGGAGGCACACATCTGATCAGTAGTGTGTGTTACATATCTGTGTCTCCTACTGTTCCTCAACTGGATAAACCAGTGACTGTAGAGCTAGTACATTGTGCTCATTTGAGCTCTGAATCTCAGAGTGAATATCTGAGCTTTGTAAAAGCTGAGGTTCAAGCTGGTAGACAGTGCGGCCCTTTTAAGTTTGAGTTGTTACCAGGAGGATCATTCTCACCTGAGTCTCAGACTGGTACTATAGAATTGAAGAGTTTCTCACTGGTTGCTATTGTGATGGGTGTTGCTGCTCTTGTTGGAGTAGCAGGATATGCTGTAAGAGCCTTTACTAGAGGTACTTTTCATATTCATATTATGATGATTATCATTAATACATTGCAGCTCCTGCCATGAAGTGTCTTGCTTTAATTTATAAAAAATGTTTTACTGACAAGGCAATGATGAGTCTAGCTGCAATACAGAATATGGGTCATTTAAAAAAGGTGACACCACATAACCATTTACCATACATTTATTGGTATTATAATACTAGTTGATAAAGGAAGACAGCATTGGCATAGAGACATTACTGGGTACTCAGATATCAAGCTTTCATTTTCAATTTTCTGATGACAAGTCACTTGAAGTGAAAGACTTTCCTTTAGATACAATTGATGGTTGGAAGATAAGTCCATTCAATCCCCCACTGGTGAGTTTTTATTAATAAATAGATTACATTATATTCATTACTTATTACTAACTTAGATAAGTAAAAATAATGTTGTTGATTATAGCAGTTCAAGTGCTGAGCCTCCATACATTCAAGTATCAGTAAAACCTGATCAGTCCAAGACTGAACTTGTTGCTGATGAGATGTCCCATGCTTTATCTATTGATGGTATACAAACATCATCTGATGCATCTACTGTTCAATGGAATATTGAAGTATCTAAGAATGAATTATTATCAGCTACTCCTTCACCAAGTAATTGCTATTTATTATTATTACTATGTTAATATCATTAGTCATTCGAACAGTTGTTACTGCCACAGCAACTGAAAGTGTACGAGCAGAAAGTAATGTTTATTTTATCTATTAATAACTTCATGTTCATCTATTAGTTATTGCACCAGTTATGCCAGAAGTTGCTTATAGAGTGATGTCAGAATGTATTTCAGCTTTCAAACACTGTGGGATTGATCTTCACTTCTTAGCAGAGAAGTTATTAGAGAAGAAGATAATAAATAATAGACAAAAGAAGAAAACCACTGATGAACACAGTGGACGTACCACTGACCAGAGAATGGATCAACTACTTGACATTATTAAAGACTCTGTACAACAAGAGGGAAAGGTTTTTGAGTATATTTTAGAAATACTCAAAGATGAAGATACCATACTAGCTAACAAACTGTATGATGATATGATTAATAAATATGAACAATATAAATCATTGTAATAGTACGTGCTAACATGACCTTTTTTATTATTATTTCAACTTTCATTAATGTTATTTTAATATGATACTTTTAATTGGAATAATAATTTTATTACATGTTATTATAATCATTATTCTTATCACTATATCCATTTGTGTGTCCAATTGTATAGGAATGATTGCTTACCAATAGCTTTAGGATCATAGTCACCTAAAAAGAGAAAGAGAGAAAAGGATTTGTGAATGAAAGAGAGAGCTAGACATACAGTGACTGATATACAAATTAATGCAAGTGTATGATTCATAATACATGTACATGTACATGTAAGCTTGTTTTAAAAAAATTTATTGCTGTTTATAATGCAAATAATTATTGCTTGCACATTGTACATGCAGTACATGTACATATTCTAGCTTAAAAGATGTGTGCAGTGTATAATATAAATTGAGAAAGAACATGATATAATTATACAATACCTGGTCCTGGTTGATGTACTAGTGGATCCTCTCCTTTCCAACGGCTACTATTACTCTTAAAAACAGCTCCACCTACTAACTGAGTACTGTCTTCCGAGCTACCACTAGGTGCCACCTCATAATGGCCAGGTCCTGGGAGAGGAGGTAAGGGAGGGAGTGGAATAGCTGGTGCTGATATGCACAGATAGTGTTTCTGTTTGTGGTATGGAATCAAATTGTACTTTGTTTTAGTGGAGGTTGTCTTAAAGTAATGTCCAGGGCCAGGGTTATCGATTCCCGTGCCGGTCAGCGATAATAAATCCCTTTTTGTTTTTGATTGAAAGTTTGCAGTTTTTCTGCCACTAGTCGCTGCTGCTCGTTCGTAAGGACTGTAATCCCCTGGCCCTGGGTTGGTTGATTTCTTTTTCCAGTCTCCTCTCTCTGTCTTGCTCTTGAAGACTGCCTCTCCTGTTATTAGTTTGCTTGTTTTAGTCGGAGTGTCTGATACGTGATATGTGTTAGGGCCTGGGCCTGTGTTTGCCACAGGACGAGGAGTGAGTGGATCTTCTGTTAGTACTGAAGTATGGAACGTCCTGTAAATGAAGACATTAATTACAGTAATTTATGCATGCATGATTTGAGTGGTGAAAATTATCCCAATAAAATTTTAAATATAAGGAACAAATAAGCTAGTCTGGTATCAAACTTCACAGCAGGGTTTTGGGATATGCATTTATGTGTACTATACAGGGTATTTTTCCAGAAATTGGTAAAGCAAATTCTCTATTTTTATACTTTTTTCTGATACATGCATGTTTTTATGTTGTGTAGCAAGTTTGGGATAATTCAGAACAAAATTGGACTTTTTACGAATTTTTAAAATTATTCAAAAATGCTTGTCAGCTCATAAAGGAGCTCACTGAGCATGATTTGTGGGACATGTTGACTCACAATCTGCAGGTACACATACATAGTGCAATTTTAGGCTACATGTAAAGTGTATTTGACATTTGTAATACTATAGACCTTTCCCACCACTGTACGTTTAGCAATGAATATCATTAACGAGCCGCCATTTTGTGGGATTGATGTACAGTGATGGATGGGTTAAAAGCACTATTTCTTTATTTTCTCCAAGATAACTGCGAAAGCAAAGACCAAATTGCAGTATGATAACTAAAATTATACAACAAATGTGCAATGAGCATTTCTGTGTGAACCAGAGCTTGCATTTATAAGGAAAATGGGAAAAGTCACTTTTGCCCATTCGTCTCTGTACATCTATCCCACAACATGGTGGCTCGTTAATGATATTCATTGCTAAACTCTGCATTGGTGGGAAAGGTCTATACATGTGCAGTATATACATGTACATGTACATGTAACCTGCTAGCTTCAGTTCTGTTGAAGTCAACTCGTCTTGATGGTATTATAGGATTATAAGCCCCTGGTCCAAGAACCATGCTACTGTCCAGTGATCTTGTCTTTGAGAACCTTTTTGCTCTAGATGCAAATCCACCAGTACCTCTCTATTAAATAGAATGCACATGTACATGCAAAGATCATCTATGCTAAGTATTGTACATGTACATGCATGCACAAAATCATTTCTGGAAAAACTACATGTAGATGTATGGATGGTTTTTTGGCTGATGCCACCTTTTAGTGAAGCTCTTTAATTTCTTTTGCTAATAAAGTACTCAAAAAGTTTTTCTTCTTCTATAATAAAGTCTTTTGTTCTTTTCCAAGGTGACAAAAGTCTATAAATTTTCATATACATGCATCACAAAAACCCTTCGCTAAAGCTATCAATATTTTAGATCCTCATTCACCTTTGATAGTGATTCCTCTTGAACTGTCATTGATGATTGAAAGAAAGGATAGTGCCCTGGTCCTGGATGATCATCAGTCTCTGGTGTAAACCTTGTAGACTGGCAGTTGAACCCTTTCCTCTCATTGCAAGGAGTGAAGTATGTTCTGTATTTGCTTGGTATTGATGCTGTGGTTGCTGGAGATGATCTCTGATGGGTTGCTGTAGGTAATTATAGTATAAATGTTTGAGAATTAAATTGTATTTGTGTAAAATAGAATTAGTATAATACATGTACAATGATTGCAATCAAGGTTTACCGCAGGATTTTGAAACAGTGCTAATGCAGTCAGTGTGTACTATACATGTACAAGGTATATTTTTCAAAAATTGCTAGGAGAAAATTTTATATCATACATGTATGTACATATGAATGTCAGTCATTGTGTAATTTTGAGCCAAAATTTAGATTTTTTCCAAAATTCTAAAAGTTACTAAAAATCAGGCCAAAGGGTTTCGCCACTAATATAAATCAGAAAAAATTATAAAAATTGAAAATCCTCTACTTTTCATTTAAAATGAAAAGTAGAGGATTTTCAATTTTTATAATTTTTTCTGATTTATATACATGTTCTTATGTTGTGTAGAAAGTTTGAGCTGAATCCAATCAAAATTAAATTTGTTATGAATTTTTGAAGTTGCTCCAAAATCGGGTTAAAGTCCCTGTACTATAGTACATGGTCTCGAGCCAAATTTTGCCAAAATTGAAAAGGAGAGAATTCTCCATTTTCATATTTTTTTTCTGATGCAATATACATGTTTTTATGTTGCGTAGAAAGTTAGAGCTAATTCTGATCAAAATTGGATTTTTTACGATTTTTAAAGTTACTCCAAAATGCCACAGACTGTATTGAGCTCATGAATCTCATGTTGTTTAGTTCACTTAGCATGCTTTGTGAGAAAGTAGGGAAGCCCACATTGCAATCAACTCATAAAGTTAATTTATGCATTTAAATTTTAAATAATAAATTTATGTACTTAAAACCTGTCTACCTTTGTATATTTTCTTTTTTCTTTTTCTTGGAATGATCCCAGAGGAAGATAAAAGACTCAAGCTGAGCTGCCTCGAAGCAACAAGACTCTCACCTCGACTTTCTCCACCGACGAACGACATGTTAGTGTTACCATAGAAACACCATTAGCCCCGCCTATAATTACACCTGTTTGAAACATCACGTGATAATCACATGATCAAATTCATATCCCTGATTCTCCTCCTCCTCTTGAGTGAGTAAGGTCTTTGGTCTCTGTCTCTCTGTTTCTTTCCTGGATTTTAATATGGCTGATGTTGACGGTAGTGGAATGAAGAAGGAAGACGGCGGCGAGGTCAATCCTGGTATGGAGGGCCCCAACGCAATGTACGTAAAGCTGATAGCCTCTGACGGCCATGAATTTATCATCAAGAGAGACCACGCACTTACTTCAGGGACCGTTAAAGCTTTACTCAGCGGGCCAGGTGAGACTAACGGAACTTGTAAAAAGAATACATGCAGCCATTGTTAAATGGTGGCATGGGGAAATTTGTTTGTGGTCAAGTTAATGTGTCATTATACATGTACATGTACTTTTTGTACTTGCTCATGTACTGTATAGTGCAATAGTTTTGACTGCTATAAATTTTGTGAATTAGCCTAAAAATTTATTTTGTGGATTTAATATTTTGCAAATTTATGCTGTCTGCCATCTTGTACCATATTAATTTGATTTTTGCGAATCTTGAAAAATTGCAAAATTCACGAACTTTATAGCCCTTAAAAAGTTTGCGCTATACAGTATTACAAGGGTTTATAAAGTCATAATGGAGTTGTCTGAATGTACAAAACTTGAAGGTGTCATCTTGTGTTTTTATTTTTTTATTTTAGGTCAGTTTGAGGAATCTGAAAGCAACGAAGTTAATTTTAGAGAAATACCGTGAGCGTCTTTAAATAATATAGTGCAATTATTTTTTGAACTTGAGTATTAATTCCATTTCCTTATTTTGTGCTGTTAACATTAATGGCTAGTGTTAACAACATATTTTTACTGTATTTACATGTATTGCTGGCCTAATCCTAAGTGTCATTTTATCCTAAGAGCATCAACTAAAAAAATTAATTTTAGTTTATTTTGCCCAAAAAGAACCTATTTCTTATACCATGTTCAAAGTACAGAATTTATTATTATCATTTAATAGTATTGCTAAATTCTGTTACAAAATTATTAATAATGCAGGGCATGTTATGACTGTATTAAAATTTAGCATTAGCACTTGTGACATGAAAGTGACACTAATGACACTATCATGCAAGCAAAAGGCAACACAATAAGATCAAAAACCTTGTTATATAAGCTATAAACTTCACCTTAGCACATCATAGAACAAATGCTTAATTCACTTTCTAAATCTTTCTTTTTCTGTGTAGCCTCATATGTTACTCTTCTCTCTCCTCCCCCCCCCTCTCTCTCTCTCTCTCTCTCCCTCTCTCCCTCCTCTTCCCCCTCCCTCCCTCTCCCTCTCCCTCTCTTCTCCCTCTCCCTCTTTTCTCCCTCCCACAGGTCACACATATTAGCTAAAGTCTGCCAGTATTTCACGTACAAGGTTCGTTATACTAACAGCAGCACTGAGATACCAGAGTTCCCCATTGCAAGAGAGATTGCTCTGGAGCTACTGATGGCAGCTAACTTCCTTGACTGCTAGAGACTAATACACATACAAGAGACTCATTATTATATTATTAATACTATTATTATTATTATTATTATTATTATTAATACTATTATTATTATTATTATTATTATTATTAATACTATTATTATTATTATTATTATTATTATTATTATTATTATTATTATGCACAGTATTTTGGTGTTTATGTGAGTCTTGTACTTGCGTTCTTTTTTTGTGTTAGAAGTGAATGGAGTTGAGAGAGCACATGTATATGTACTTACGATTTTCTTTCCTTTATAGTATCGGGACCATTTTTGTGTTTTATTCATTCATTTGTCGTCCAGTTTTTGTTATTATTATAATTCCTTCTTATCCTATCTTAAGAACATGAGCCTGCTGAACGTACATATTCTTGAGCTAATTGTAATTTTGAGGTGATTGCTTTGAATATTGAATTCTGATATAATTATGCTCAAGTATTATCATAGTGTTAATTAATTGGGTTATGACATCACAGGAAGTAATTGTAATTATTTGGAGACCCACAATGCTATGACAATGTTTATGCCATTTATAAAACATAACCAATTGAATTGATAAGCTACAAAATAAGCTCTATGATTATTATCTAATGGAAAAAATTTTTGTAAGGGCTTTGGCCCTGGCAGTTTTGTGATAATTAATGATTGTGATAAACCCTTGGTATGATTGCAGACACCTGCAGTTGGTCAATTGATGGGAAGATGCACATGAATGGAACCTCCCTCCTCTTCATTGATTGGAGGTGGATGAAATGATTACTGTATAGCTCCAAATTTTCATTTTCGTCGAAATCTTAATTTCTTGTCAAAATTAATTTTCGCCAATAAAATTTTTGTTATTAATTTGCATACTACCCACCTGGAACAAAAATTTTGTCGGTTATAAAATTTGTCAAGCCAAAATACCTGACGAATTTGACAAAAATTTTGACTGACGAAAGTTTGGAGCCATACGGTATGTTGTGTAGAAACAAAGCATGTACAGTCCCATGGTTTCTTGGCTCTAAAATTAATGGTGTTCTCTTTTTTAATTTTTTGATATTTTAAATTGGCTCTGCTATTTTTATTACATTTTCTGACTATGTGGAAATTTGACCTGCTTTAAAGTAGTGTGGGACTTGGAATTAAAATATTTCAATTATCTTAGATAGTTGGAGTTTCCTTGAAATGATCAATAAAGTGAATCAATTGAATCAAACTTTATGATGTGTAGCAGTAGTGAGTATATTATTAGCTCTGTGTGTGTTTTATGAGAACCTAATGGGGCATAGCACCTTACCTTATGCTTATATGAATGTATGTATATGAATATATGTAACTCTCTTGCAGTACAGAGTATGTACTCTTGAGTATAGTCATGCATGACAAATTTGGTATTGCTGCAAGGGGAATATACTTACTTCCTTTAGCTCATGATCTAGCACAACAACTGGCCTGACTTGTAAAGTAGCCACAAAGCTAGCAACATTACTATCATTTTGCTAATTTTTAGAGGCTATATATATCATGATTGTCACTCTACTTCTTCTCCTCTTTGTCTCTGGTGGTGCTCTATCATCTGGTGAAGTATTAGCTTCAAAAAGCAGCAGGAGGAGGTCTAGTGTTTACTATGTTAACAGCAAGCAGCATAGTTGCAGTGGAGAACTTTGCCACACACTCTCCCATTACACAAACAAGACTGACTGGCCTCCAAACACTATGCTAATATTTCTACCAGGAGAGCACGAGCTGCATGCTCATCTTATCTTTCAGAAACTGGACACTGTCAAGCTTAAAGGACAAGGGACCGATCCACCAGTAATCAAATGTACTAAGGAGTCTTTGATGATCAGGATAAAGGATTGCAGTACAGTCAATATTGAAGGTATTGCTATTAAATGCAGCCTCTTATCTTTAATTGATAATATTGCAACAATCATTACTAACATTAGTGCCAGTCAATCTCATTTTTATAATGCAAAACCTTCCAGTGTATTTTCAACTGTTACAATATCACATTCAAAGTTTACGTGTGATGAGAAACCTACACGCAATTGTATAGGTATTCATCATAACACTGGTAGGATAATACTACAAGACGTGATTACATCAAATAAACATCGATCTAGGATCGGAATAAACATAAGAAGTAATGGAAAAATCAACATATACTTCTGTAACGTTTTGGCTATTGGCAACAACAACAATGGCATCAGAATAGCACTGAATAAACATGGCAGAGTAAATTTAACTGGAACACATGTATCAAATAACATTGGAGATAGGCTATACCTTTGGTGCAGTGGAAGCACCCGTATGTATCAAACTAATGCCACTTCTAGTTACTGCAGCTATAGAAATGATGCTACGTTAGTGTTTTACTGCAACGGAACAAAAATTCTGTAACTACTGCCTACCATGGGACATTATTATTATTATCAGTTAGTACACGCTTATTTATTTTCTGTGTACATAGCTACTACAACTTAGTGCATGAATGACAGTTCGTCATGCAGTCTTTTTATATACACACATTATAATAGTCTTTACTATACATGTCATTTGCTCTTATTTTAATTTTTCAGTTAAAATTTAATAAAGATGATTGGTAGTCTCACTAGCCAGACTCTAATTTACCAAATAAGAGTCTGGTGTCATATGTCTATAGTTTATAGAGATTAACATTCTTTGCCCACGCAAAACAAAACATTGAAAACATGAGTTGATATTAGGCATGGCACCAGACTCTTATTCGGTAAATTAGAGTCTGACTAGTGAGACTAAATGATTGAGTAGATATTATACTGAGTACATGATTTAAGCCTAGCATTCTATTGCTGTGATGGCTATACTTGGGACACTGTTTTTAATTAAATAATAATAATAGTAATAAGGACTGAGGAAACATCATAGTCCATTTGTTATGAACTGACATTGAGCATACAACAACAACAACTTTATAATTGAAAATAATCATAATAATAATAATAACAATAATAATAATAACAATGCTATAAACACACATACACTTATCAGTCGTAATTGACAGTTTAAATTGTGTGTGTCAACTAGTACTCTTGTTTCATTGCTGTTCTTTGACTATTTCAAGTGGTCTAGGGCCATACACCAGTATATATGCCATATGCCAATCCCCTATGATTGAAATTTAATGTGCACATGGAATGAGCTAATGAACAAACATACAGTACATGTACATGTCAGGTTATCACTATGAGCCAATATTATACTATGCATAATCTTTTGAGCTGATTACTTTTAGTTATGGGCATTCAAAAAATACTGAGGAAACATCTCAACCCTTGTAATGTTGATTTCACCAAAAATTTTTTGACAAATTCTCAATTTTAGTTCTATTTTGTGATGTGATACAGATCAATGCTTCTGTGGCATATAATGTACATGTACATGCATGCAAGAAGTTTGAGCTAAAATGCTGACATGAGAGAGAGAGAAAGGGAGAGAGTTAAAATTATTTTACTGACCTCCTCCTGATAGTTTTTTAATTTCTTCATCTGTTACCATCGTGACATCATCATCATCATATTTAAACCATTGACCTACAGCATTTGATACGAAAAAATGATAAAATTTTTACAAATAAACATTCAAAAATGTTATGCATGTATATGTACACGGGCTCAACCAGTTTTTAATTTGAGTTCATTAAAAACATGACAGTTTCTTTAGTAGTAAAACCTTCCTAGAAGAAGTGAAAAATACACTCCAAAATTTGTTCAATGGCCATGGGCTCCATGCAATCTAGTATTTCAGCAAAAAATTGCTACTAGAAAATTCTCCCCTTTTTAATACAATTGTTCTTGTGTTGCGCAAAAAATTGCTTGAGTTTTTCTGACTAAAGACAATGCATCAATGCATGGCTCAGGATATAATATCATAATAACTAATTGTGCTCAACATAATTATTTCATTAATCAGCAAAAATTATTATTAAAAATATCACCAAACTGCATGTAAAATGATAGTAATAACAATATCAATAATGTATTAACTAAGATCCCTAACTTTGTGTGTGTGCAATACCACTCTACACTACAGCATAAGTATTCACTACTATGGTATATACATTTTAGTCTTAGCATTTAGTTAAGTTTATCATTAAAAGAGAATAAGTCCAAGGATAGCAAGAGCTATCATTGAGAGACCAGCAAAAGGGTACAACCCAATAGCAGGACTAGTACCAGTAGAAGTAGTGCTGGTAGGAGTACTAGTAGTGGTAGCTGCACTAGTGCTAGTAGAAGTACCAGTGGTAATAGGAATACTGGTGGCAGAAATACTAGTCCCAGTAGAAGTAGTGCTGGTAGATGCGGTAGGTGAAATAGTGGTATTTACAATCCCAGAAAGACAAGCAGGAGCAAAAGTTACAGTACAGTTCACAGTATTAGGAAATTCACCAATAGCACAGCAACCCATAACTGAAGAGAATTGACTGAGCTGATTATTACAATCTACACTGTTGCAGACCAATGGATTTCCAGAAAGGCAACTTAAAGGAAGATTATCAATACCCACACGATTATATATAACAGGGCAGTATTCTCCATTCTCAAGTCCACAAATATATGTTTGTAAGTGGATGATGTATAAGTCAGAAAAACTTGGATTATTGCATTTATGAAATTGTATAATAGGATCAGTGCAGGCAGAGACACAGTTCTGAGCATAAGTTGCATTTTCTGATTCTAATCTAAAAGTCCCTACATGAGAACTATCAAGAAGAAAGCGATTGCAAGTTTGTGGTAGAGTGCTGTTCAGCTGGGCTTCACATTGACTTTGCTTAGGAGCAGCATAGCGTTTGAAAAGTCCTGCACTGGAGACAGAAGCTACAAGAAAGAAGAATAGGGTGTACTTGATAAGGGTAGCAGGAGGAGTAGTTATTATACTGAATAAGTTGATAGTATTGTCCTTCTTTTGACTAAATAAGCAACACAGCTGCAATCCTTTTATAGAGACACACTTGAATAAAATTAGCCCTGTTTACACTAAAAACCAGTTTGGATCAGAGCGGTTCGGAAATCAGCTTAATTGTGTCCACACTTAACTATGGTTGGATCAGTTTACAATGCTACATTGCACACAAAATACAGCTGGTTCAGTACTTAAACCAGTTTGATTATTTCAAACCACCTACCTGAGGTGGTTTAGATACTGTATAGCTTGAAATTTTCGTGGAATGTAAATTTCGTGGTTTTCGTAGTTGTGGGGCTGCCCACGAAATTTAACCCAGGAAATCATTGAAGTGCCATCCCCTTACGGCTATGTAAACTGTCAACCACAAAAATTAAACCACGGACATTTCAAGCTATACAGTAAGTCACTTTGTGTAAACGGGGCTAATTATGAATGCAGAAAACAAAAACTAATTCACATTGACAGTGAACAGCATTGACAGTGACAGTAGTGTACAGTAATTAACAGTAATTAACAGTGAGGAAAGAATGACAGTGAGAGGATTCAATCATTAATTAGTAGTCAACAAGAGCCTGGTAAAATATAAACATTTGTTGAAAGGTTAATACTCAGAACAAAGATAGAAGGGATATCATGAATTTAATGCTGCTCCCGAAATTGGCCAAAAACCACGTACATGTAGATGTACTATAATAGTACAGGATATTTTGTCAAAATGAGTTTATATATAATTTTTTCACATACATGTAGATGTACTTTAACTTGCACATAATGTACTGTATGTTGTGCAAAAATTTTTAGCTAATTCCAATAAAAATTGTATTGTTAGGAATTTTTAAAGTTGCTCATAAATCTGGTCAAAGTCTCTGCACTATAGTGCACTATAGTACATAGTCTCAGGCCGAATTTGCGGAAATTAAAAAAGTGATAATTCTCTATTTTTATAATTTTTTCTGATACACATACATGTTCTTATGTTGTGTAGAAAGTTTAAGCTGAATCCGATCAAGCTTGGATTTTTTATGAATTTTAAAAGTTGCTCCAAAATCAGGCCAAAGCCCCTGTACTATAGTACAGGGATTTTGGCCAAATTTCATCAAAAATGAAAAGTATAAAATTTTTTATTTTTATAACTTTTTTGATGCATATACATGTACTTATGTTGCATAGAAAGTTTGAGCTGATTCCAATCAAATTTAGATTTTTTATGAATTTTTAAAGTTGCTCCAAAATCAGGCCAAAGTAGTACAGGGTCACAGGCCAAATTTTGCAAAAAATGAAAAGTAGAGAATTCTCAATTTTTATAACTTTATCTAATACATATACATGTTCTTATGTTGCGTAGAAAGTTTGAGCTGATTCCAATCAAAATTATATTTTTTACGAATTTTTAAAGTTGCTAAAAATTGGGTCAAAGTCCCTGTACTATAGTACAGGTATCATTTCTCTCACAAGGTAAAAGTGTGCTCATTAACTAACGCCCACTCACCAGGTTGCTTCCTAACCCAGGCTACATAATGTCCAGAGGATGAGCTCCTTCCTCTGTGAGTGAGGACTGCTATCAGTTCATAGTATCCACTGTTGTTACTACCTGGATCTATTAGTGTGTGTGTGTGTGTGTGTGTGTGTGTGTGTGTGTGTTAAAATAGATGTACATACAAAATAACGAATAACACACACATTTACATGTACATGTACATGTACATGTAGCAGAAAACTTTCAAGAGGCTAGAGTTATGCAAAATGTAAGATCCTACCATATAGTGGAAAAATTTCCTAAATTTCATGTCTTTTTTAAAAATTCACAAAAATCAATTAAATACGGTTCAAGATGCTCAAAAAGTACAAAATCATAAAATAGATTTTTGAAGATCTTTGCAAAATTTTTCCCTATACGGTATTTTACATAATTATATTTAACAAGGCACTTCAAAGTACATGTGTATTTTATTAATTTACACGTACATGTACATGTACATGTATTGTACCTTCACGGAAGCTGTATGGTTCATACAGGACATGACTAGCTTCCTTTGAAGAGTCCTTCCCTATCACACCCTCCGTGATCCTCTTAGCTTGAATAGCCTTTGAGAGAAGGAGAGAGATAATAACATATACATGTGTATGTACATGTACATGTACATGTACATACACATGTATTGTAAATCTGTCATGTAGAAGCCTGGATTTCTACATGTATTTTCTGTCTTTGATTTATACATGTGAATGTTTGATGGATCTTCTATACTTTTATACATGTAAATGTACATGTACATGTACATGTAGCTCTCAGGCTTCTAATTGAGATAGGCTTTTATTAGAGAATAGCTTAATATGATACATGTACATGCATAACTTAAATTATGTATACATGCATGTACATGTACATATATGTTATATGTGTACCATTTTGCGATCTTCAACTTCTTTATACTTCCTACGTATTGGGAGCATCTTTTCTTTAAGTTCAGGAGAACAGAAATCAAACGCATCAAAATGTAATTGAAATTTGACATCCTAAGAGACAAAAAAGGAGAATAAATGTACATGAAGAGTGTCTCTGTTATGCAGAGGCGTCCTTTATGTGGAGGTTATTTTATACAGTAAGGAATGTAATTGGTACACTAGGTGCTGTCCGTTAAATGGAGGTGTACGCTATAGAGAGCCTCCATTAAGAGAGACTATACTGTACGTGTATAAATAAATAAAATTTAATAAATGCAAACTTTTAGGATTTTCTTTGATACGAGATCTTCTGATGCCCCTGATCGGCCGTGAAAGAACCTCACAAACTGGATTGTGAGGTAGGCCGGCAGCCTAGTCACTGCAGACACTTTCTGATAGCTAGCATTTCTTGATAATGTCGGAGAGGCCTTCTCTATGGTACCTTTTAAACCCTAGGCGGAGAGAGGAGAGATGTGCATATATATGTATGTACGATATACATGTATATACTAGTACATGTACATGTACATGTAGTACATGTACATGTATACACTGTCTGTTAGATCTAGAGGGAGTTTAGGAGCCATTTCGTCTCCCATACAATGTATTTGATCTAGTTCTACTGAAATCTGCCATTTCCAGCTGTTCGTCTCTCATACTTAGCCCTAGATGTCCTTAAATATCCCATTTCTAGTTACATTAATCATCTAAAATTTATTGTTAAAACTAGCAGCAATGTACATGTAGCTTTAAAATTAAAAGGTATTTACAAATTCTTTATTACTGCTACCAAGAATTAATATTATGTACTCTTGCTGCTACTACACATTCAAACTAACTGCAGTTCAATTTATTAATAATTTATTAATAATGATCGTATTACTTTAGTTATTCCGGTATGCAAGTACTTCACTTCTTGTTCAATGAAGCACGACAACTGGAGACTGTCCTCAAACTCCATAGTCTCCATCTCATCCTCACTCTCAAGGCACTTGTAACTATGCTGCAATTTAACATCTACAATGTACAATAAAGAGTAGTTTACTGGTATATATATATATATATATTTTTTAATTTTCTTGTAAGTTTTTGAAGGAAAAAGTTTGACCAAAATAGGACAATTATATGTACCAAAAATTTAGAAATTGTCAAAATATTTATCTTTAAAAATTATTAGCTACATACATGCGTATGGTATGACATATTGTAGGAATCTCCCTCCCTCCCTCCCTTCCTCCCTA